GTTGATTCGGTCATTCTAAAACACCTTACCGTTTAAGTATTAGTGTTATTATTTTATTAATGACCTCCAGAATCGAGCGTCTGTGCTCCACGTCTGACACCTTTAAACGCCATCGCGCGTTCACTGCGTGTCAGGATTGCCTTATGAGGTGCAAGTCATTTATTAAATGAAGAAAAGATTCGCGCAGCTTCTCCTACTACAGCAATTCCGTTTTCACTGTTAATATTTGGCGCCAGTTAATCAGGAAGTGACGATTTTGTTTGCTTTGACTCGTTGGATGGAAACGCAGCTCTATTCGCGCTTCTTTTGTTTTTATGCGATAATCCAGTTTTGCGCATAAAGTTCATTCGCATTTTGTATGGAAACATAGCTACTGTCTCATTCATTTTCAGTGTCAAGCGATGCTAATAAAAGGTTACCTAGTGAAGTAGAGCTCAGGTGTTAGCATCTCAAATGCAGAAAAATTGATTATTATGATGTTTTCAATCCGATCTCATGAGGAAAAGTAACAGTTTTACGTTTTGTAAAAAAAACTGTGGTTAATTCATATAAAAATGTTTAATAATATTGTGCCCAGTAAACCCCACCTTTAACCCTAACCCTCATTAGGGGATGAGCAAATCATATTAAAATGTAGAATTTTTTTAAATATTTTTTAGATTTTGTAATTGAATAACTTTGTTAAAATAAAACCCATGTAACTACTTTACCCTCCTTGAATGACCATAACTGTCAAAGTGAATCCATGCATTTCAGCATCTTCTACTTTTTTCCATGCCTTTGAATACATTTTTAAAATATGATAACAGACATTCAAAGCTTTATCCGCTTGTTAAGTGTGACGTCACGCGAAGCGGCTTTCGGGCCCAAACGCTCTATTCAACTGTATCGGGAGACTCATGAAATGGTAATAATTAACCTTTACAAAGCGATTTAATACTTTCGAAAATCATGATCGCAATATATATGTCCATGCCTAATAGCCGATGGCCAGAAAGTGATATTTTTTTTATATAAATTGTTAAAATTTTGGTATTTGTGATGCAGCAAGCCCAGAGATTGTTGTGTACACTATGAATTTATAAAAAAAATTAACTTTAATGTAAGATATGAATTAAAAGAGATCATAAGCGAATAATTTCTCAACTCAAATTATTGGCTTGGACCCGGAAACAGTTTTTTATATGTCACCAACATGTCACCATTTAACAAGCAGATTCTAAATTCTCAATTAAAGCTTGAAATGTAAACATGACAAGACAAAAATTCAATTCGGTACAGTCTAATATGATGGTCGTTCTAGTATATTAGTGTTAAATGGATGGAAAATAAGCTATATATATGTTTTATTTAAAAGTTGATAGGTTGTGTTAGCATGGCTGGAGTAAATATTGCAGCTTCTTCTGAAAGATGTTCGTTATTAGGGACTCAATTATTGATTATTTGTCATATTTGATTGATGTTTTGGCAGGTTTGAAAAATTGACAGAAGATTAGCAGATTTCACTGATTCATCGATTGTTTATCTGGTTATAATTAAATCCACCAGCCACAAGTTTAACTTTGTCCTGTTTATCATTTTTGCTGCTGGTGATCGTCCCATTTGCACACTTCTACCCAACAGCCAAGGCAGCAATACATTATATAAAATCGCAGACTTAGACCACAAGGGTTTAGAGTGCCATTTGGGATTGGGTTCAAGCCAACGGTTGGCCATCTTCCAATGCTGGGCTGTCGGTCGGTGTCTGTTTTTGTTTTGTGTTCTGTGTTGAATGATGACTACAGCCTATTGAAACCTGCTGGAATCCACATATAATTCCTTACATATGCACATAACACAGTTGTCAGACCTATGTATATTTTTATGTATTTATTTTTCTCAATTGCCATTATACTATTATTGTATTGTTTGGTCTTGTTCTAATATAAAGCACTTTGCGATGTACCATTAAAGGTGCTTGTCATCGCAAGAATACAACATAGTCGGCTTAGGCCACCACTTGTTTTCTGAGATCCATGACACCAGTCATCTAATGTCAGGCTACTTATTTCTAAGATATCTCCAGTTGGATGATGATGATGATGATGGCAGTTAAATTGTTTTGCATGTTGAATTTGTGTTGGGGCCATTAATCCCAGGTAGCAAAGAATTCTGGCCCAGATTTGGCAATAAGCTGACAGCAGGCATTCATCCAGCACTTGCATACAGTATGTGGGCCAAACATAGCTTGAGTTTTGACAGAGGTGGCACTGTCCTTAAGACGGCAAACAAGGCATGGGCCAGAAGTCAAATGTAGTATTTGGCCTGGATAAAAAGAAATGTGGGTAACGTAAGTTTGTAAAATCCACATTTAAAATACATTTTTACTTAGTTGTGAGTAAAGTAATCTACCAATCAGGTCACTTCATGAATCAACTTGGCCCAGATATAGTCCAAGTTTAGCCCTTGTCAGGAAGCCAGACTTGGTCCCGTCATGTACCGTAATTCACGGCAACATCTGGGCCAAACAAAAACTGATTTGGGGGGCCAGAACTGGGCCAAATAAACTTAGCTATTTGGGATGAGAACAACTGTGGCAGTCAGTGATTGCTCTGATTGGCGTTGAATTTGTGTTGGGGCCATCAATCCCAGGTAGCAAAGAATTCTGGCCCAGATTTGGCATAAAGCTGACACAGCAGGAATTCATCCAGCACTGGCATACAGTATGTGGGCCAAACATGGCCTGGGTTTGGCAGAGGTGGCACCGTCTTTAAGATGGCAAACAAGACATGGGCCAGAAGTCAAACATAGTATTTGGCCAGGATGTTAAAAAATAATATGTGGGCCATGTAAGTTTGTAAAATCCAAAGTTTTGAGTAATCTACCAATTAGGTCACTTTAAGAATCGACTTGGCCCAGATATAGTCCATGCTAAGCCCATGTCTGGAAGCCAGACTTGGTCCTGTCATGTATCGTATCTCATGACAGCCTCTGGGCCAAGCAAAAGCTGATTTTGTGGGCCAGAACTGGGCCAGAGAAAGCTATTTGGGATGAGAACAGCTGTGGTAGTCAGTGATTGCTCTGATTGACTGCTCTGCAGACAGAAAGATATCCTAATGTTACGACATGTTACAATAATATTCAAAACGACATTAGCCTGGATTAAAGAAATAGTGGGCAAGCACTGCTGTATTTTGCGATTTGTATATCTGCAGTCTTAGATTGGGTTTGGCTTTTTAAGTAAGAATCATAGACTATTGATTATTGGTATTATAGGCAGTTAATTTATTACATGAAAATGCAAAATGCATGTGCATCTGTAGTCTTTTTGGTGTGCTCAAATATAGTATTTTGGCAGTGTATTTCTGTTGCTTCTAGATCTTTTATGTTGCCTTGGTGTGTCACGGCCTTTGTACACATTTGAACACCATTTTATGGTCTCTTGGTTATGCTGTTGTAACTGAACAATGTCCCAGGCACAACACTGAATATGGCATTTGTAACGTGAAAATAGATTGATGGAAACATATGACTAATATTATTTTTTCTAAGATAGGAGAGATGACAAGATAGGGCTAAAAGCAGTATATTTAAAGGCTTAGTATAAATAAGTGAATCTTAAAGGTGCAGTAGGTGATCTTCCACAATGCTAACAGCTTAGCATAAATCTCTGAATCACAGTCCCTCCCCTGCCGTCCAGAGCAATGCCTCCTGAAAACGCGCACGCGCACCTTAAATATGACAGAACCCTCTCTCATGTGTTAAAAGCGACTAGTGCTTGTCCGACAGCGTGTAGGTGTAACTCCGCCGGTTCTACGCCACCCATCCCACTCCGAGCTGCTATCAAACCGGCGACCTTCCACATGGGAGTCGGTTGCTCTACCAAGGAGGCTAAAGACCATGGCCTCTAGCGTCTGTCGCTAGAGCACCTTTAGAGGTCAGAGGAGCGAGGTTTACCTGCACAGCACTCACTAGCTGGCCTCCGTTACACTCACCCCCCTAAACCTCACTCCCATCCGGGTCACGGCACCAATGTAACCTCGTCGGTCTTACGCCACCCAACCCGTTCCGAGCTGGGATCGAACCGGCGACCTTCCGCATGGGAGTCGGTTGCTCTAACAAGGAGGCTAAAGACCATGGCCTCTAGCATCTATCGCTAGAACACCTTTAGAGGTCAGAGAAGCGAGGTTTACCTGCACAGCACTTACTAGCTTGCCTCGGTTCCACAGGAATTACACGCATCATTACTAACCCAAACTGACATGCTATTTCAGAGCGAATATTTAGAGTAGCATGGTAAACGATATAAGGACAGCATCACAGGTCATCATTGTTTAAAAATGAACCAATGTGATGTGAATATAAGCCATCTTCACCCCAGTAAAGCTGGCTAGATGGAATAGAGCTATTTACTTGTGTTTTGTTGTTAAACCAAATGAAATCTACATTATCGATGCTGTATAAGGACATTATGAAACTGAAAACAGTCACATCAATCTTTCATCGGAAGATTTTAGTGGCTGAACAACACTTCTGTGCAGATATAACCCGTTTGTGACAACATCTGACGTTACATCAGCTTTGCGTGAAGCTAAAATAGTTTCAAAACAGAACATTAACTGGCTAAGAGAAAGCCTTCAGACATGGTGTCATCCTTTCTCCAGCGTGCAAAGGTAACTCCAATATTGATTCAGGTTTTTAAAAAGTTTTGATTAAGCATGTTTTTATCGATCTCTCTCTCTCTCTCGATCACTCTCATGAACGCGTTATGTACAAATGGCGGAGCTGCGTACAAACGGCTGCGCAGTTGTTCAAATCTGCATTGGCTGACAGTTTGAGCTACTTATCTTAGTTATGAGAGTTGTCGGCCCGACTCTATTTAATTGTATGAACATTTTCTAGTTTTATGGCTCACCCAGAATATAAAAATACATATAAATACATTTCGATCACATACTTTAATCAATACTACTGGAATGTGAAGACACTTTCGACCAGCACAACAAACAAATGTTTCTGAAGATAATCACCTACTGCACCTTTAATATCCAATACACATTTGTTAAAACACATCAAGCTCAAATTAAAAAACTCAGAATTAGTGCTCAGAGTGCATTTAGTTGAAAATGTAAAAACATCTGAGCTTCAGAGTAGTTGCCTGTTCAGGTTAAATGCTTTTTCTTTATCAGCTAAATGAAACTGCATTATCGGTCTGTGCCAAACAACAAAAATCACTTTGTGCTTTTGACACCTTGAAAGGTCATCGCTAATGGTAGCTTAAACAGCAAAAGGGCAAATGGATCAATTTCCTTTGATAAAATTAAGGTGGTTAAATCTGCCACAGAGTCAATATTTGGAGTTTAATTGTTCAGCATGGGATAGAGGGATACATATTAGCCTAAAAGTGCAATTACTTTAGCGGAAATCTGAAGACGAAAAAGAAGGTTCGTTATTAATAGCTTAGCGATGCATGAAGCGCTGCTTATATAGAGATCACTTCCAAATTAAGCAGCTTAATATTGGGCAACATTGCACATTTAAATGTTCAAAGCTTAACAAATCTCAATCAGTCGACAAATTAGCGAAGAAATGTGCTAAATTTCATGACTATTCTATTCATGAAATTTTCCCCCATCCTAATGCAGACGATCTACAGATCAGGTCATGAAATGTGCGCACTCCACTTTATAACTATGACATGCATTATTATGTTGGCCTGCTTTACACAATGAAAATATGGCTACAAAACACTTTGTCATTTTTCGTTTGAATAAATAAAGCTAGCTCTGATCTATGAAATATGCATGTACACGAATATCCAACACTGACTATTTATTAGCCATGTCCTATGAGATGGAAACACAGGTGTGAGGCCTGTTATTTAAACAGGTTCACATTGAGGCTGTCTAGAGAACGTAGTTAAACTCAAGGCTTCGTTTTGTTTGTGTGTCACAGTGACACATCCTCATTAGAGCATACCTGTAGAAAAAACAAAACCAAACCAAAAAAACTCAAATAAATAATAAATCAGCCCTTAACTGTGCCTCTCTTCCTCACAAAGAACCTAATTCCTCAGCCCAGCCACCTGAGACGGGCCTTTGTTCTTCTATCTGGAGCCGCGTGATTGAGCTCTCAGACTCCCCGTTGACATGACTATCTTAAGGTTTGTAACAAATTAACGTCGGTTTCACTGAGTTATTCATGCCACGTGAATCTCTACATGCAGGAGTGTTTGAACGTGTGTAAAAGATGTGAAAAGCCCTTTACTGTAATAAGGAACAATGGATCCTCTCTTGGTGATTGGGGTCAATTTTGTTTGGTGAGCTCCGATTGGCTGCATTCATGCAGCCGAATAGCAATTTGCACGGTCCTCTTTCAACACCTTGTTTTCAGATCGTTTGGGTTCATTTCTTTAAAACGTTAGCAGCATAGTCTAAACTCTGGTTCTAACATGCAATTAGAGGATATAGGGAAGAGAATATAATATCTTAATATATTAGATAACACTAATGGCGGTAAAAACGATTTGTGGATGTCTTTTTGCCAACAGAAGTCTGGATACCGTTAGACATTCCCACAGAGACCTTTTTTTCAGCCAAGCACTTGATACTTAATGACCGAGCGACAGTACCCAGACTTCCAAATCTACTGACCTGGCAGGAGGTGACATCGTACCAGCAAAAAACAAAAACAAAAAAAACATCAGGCTACCTTAATAAGGTTACAGGATCTTAATGGGAGAATCTGAGCTCAAACCTGGGCTTTATATGTCGGGTGTCTTGGTATTTGTCTAGGCAATGGGTAAACCCTCGTAACGAATAGAGCAGCATTCAGAGAGTTTGTGATTACGAAGAGAAACGAGAAGAACATCGAAGTGGACACACGGATGCAAGCACAGGCACACATGCACACGCACTCATCCGTTCGCTCACTCTGTCTTGACTATTCACTTGGATACTGTACATCTAACATCATCCATCTCTGCCGATTCCTCCCTCCTGCACAAAGACCCAAATGAACAGAAAAGAAACATGAATTAGATCCTGTAGTCATCTAGTGCAACAGAAATCCAAACCATAGACACAGTGTAAAAAACATAGTGCGAGAAAACTCCGCCCCCCCCCAGAGAAGCCTCTTTTTAGCAAAGGCTAGTGTTGTCCCTTGTTCTTGTTGCTTGATTGGATTCGTCCAGTAATTGTTTAACTTTAGTAGCGTTTGCTTGGTTTGTTTTGATTGCATGTCCACAGTCTCTGTCCCAGAGCTCCCAGCGAGCATCCCAACGGTCCGTCCATCACGTCTCTGGAATCGGCACTGCTAGCGAGTGGCTGTTCCGTCATTCCTCGTTGGAGGAGCTGGAGGTGAGGTTGAACCCAGTGGGACTGTGGGATGCTGTGAGAGTGGCAACAGTATGGAGAAGGACGAGGACCAGCAGGCAGAGTTTGAGTCTACTGTTGCACAGTCTAGAGGCCGCTGACGAGGTCAGGGATGTCCCGTGCTGACACGACGGGTGAGTTCTTTTGAGAGTGCCTTTGGAGCTGTTGTCCGCCCTGCTGTCCCATCGGACGTCGCAGCACTCTGTCTCTGCATCTGAGGGGTTGTCCTCTTGAAGCCCTGGGATAGCAAAAGACATGTTAACGTTGATGATAAATGGGAGTATTCTGCATAAAGGAGACAACTTTGGTTCTTACAAATGTAGGAAATGTGTTCATGTTGCTTTTTAAAAGGTTTGAAAAACACTATTAGATCATTTGCAACGCGAGTTTCAGGTTAAAGGTGTACTTTTTACAACATGTAGAATAAGTGTCTCATGTGTGCATGATGCATCTTTTGAAAAAATTCTGAGGTAGACCTGAACCGAAAATGGAATGTGTCATGACCCTTTAAAGACTTTACTAGGTTAAATAGTTTAAAGGTGCAGTAGGTGATCTGCCAAAATGCTTACCGCTTAGCATATTATCTTTGGACGGCGGGGAGGGACTGTGATTCAAAGCCACACCCCCTGAAATTGCGAGCGCGCGCACCGCGTCACAACAGCAGACAGACAACCCACTAGTTCATGTCATTCGCCAGTTAGTTAGTGCCAGTGCTTTACTTTGCCACACTTACATGCTATTTCAGAGCGGATATTCAGAGTAGCCTGGTAAACAGTATAGGAAGGCTGTCATTGACCCAATGTGAATATAAAAGCAACTTCAGCTCAATAAAGCAGGTTAGGCGGAATAGCGCTATTTACTGATGTTTTGTTGTTAAACTAAATATAAATCTACATTATAGATGCTGTCAAAGGACCTTATGAAACTGAAAATAATCACATCAATCTTTCACCGGGAGATTTCAGTGGCTGAACAACACGTCTGTGCATATAAGTCATTCATTACAACACAATCTAACATAAGCTTAGCCTGACTAAGTTTTAAAACAACATTACCTGACTAACAATAATACTTCAGCCATGTTGTCCTTCCTCCAGCGTGCTAAAGTAACTCCAATATTGATTCAGGTTTTTAAAAGCTTCAATTCAGCATTTGATTTCTTCCAGTCCGTCTCGTGACCGCGCGGCCGCTTTAAGGGCTAGTTCTGTGAGGCTGAGAAGTGGCACAATCCACTCGCCATGGCGCCTGGCTTTACAGTAATCGGCCCGAGCTCGTCTGTCCTTCGGTGCCTCCGGCTCCGACTCGGCATTGGCGAGCGCCCCGCAGCTCGCTCGCGCGAATGCGTTTGTGATGCAGACGGGCATGCGCTAATAGCGGATCTGCATGAACAGATGCGCAGAAGTGCGAATCTACATATGCTGACAGACAGTCTGACCTGCTTATCGGAATTATGGGAGTGTCGGCCCGAATTGAAAGAACGTTTTTTAGTTTTATGCTTTACCCAGAATATAAAAATACATATAAACACATTTAGATCATTTACTGTAATCATTACTATTGGACTGTGAAGAGACTTTCAACCAGCACAACAAAACATGCTTCTGAAGACAATCACCTACTGCACCTTTAATTAGGCAAGTTATTATATAACGATGGTTTCTTCTGTAGAATATTGAAAAGATATATAGCTTAAAGGTAATAATAATTTTGACCTTAAAATGGTTTTTAAAAAAATAAAAACTGTTTTTAATCTAGAAAAAATTAAACAATTAAGACTTTCTCCAGAAGAAAAAATAATATAGGAAATACTGTGACAATTTCATTGGTGTGTTAAACATAATATGGGAAATGTATATATATATATATATATATATATATATATATATATATATATATATATATATATATATATATATATATATATATATATATATATATATATATATATATATATATATATATATATATATATATATATATATATATATATATATATATATATATATATATATATATATATATATATATATATATATATATATATATATATATATATATATATATATATAAATATATATCATATATATTATATATATATATATATATATATATATATATATATATATATATATATATATATATATATATATATATATATATATATATATATATATATATATATATATATATATATATATATATATATATATATATATATATATATATATATATATATATATATATATATATATATATATATATATATATATATATATATATATATATATATATATATATATATATATATATATATATATATATATATATATATATATATATATATATATATATATATATATATATATATATATATATATATATATATATATATATATATATATATATATATATATATA